GTTTATGAAAATATAAAAGATGATAAAGTATTATCACTTACATATTTATTTAAATTAGATTACCATTTAGAAGGGGAGAATGCTCCAAAGATATAGCCACTTTTGGATTTAAATATCATAACCAGATTGTCTTTATTATTAACTTTATTCCAAAACTATTATCCATTTAACCCATCTCTACTTCCTAAATATATCTCTTATAAATCTTTTATATTCTTTTTACTTTTCTCTTATAAAATAAAAAATATTTTAATCCAATAATCATCTCGAAGTAATTTTGGTTTTAATTAGGGTATTTATTATTTTTGCTGTGAACTTTAAGGTATTATCTATTGCTATTGCTATTGCTATTATTATTTTATTTAAGGTTGTTTAAGCTCTTCTTCCTTCATCTTTATCATTTAATCATACTCTCTTTTCTTTTCTTCCAAAAGCTTATTAAATTTCTATTCAATTTATTACGTTTATTTTTAATCTCTATCATTCATCTATTATTACATCTTCTAAACTTCTTTTGATACAATAGTTTTTACTAATGACTTAATCTCCTTAATTAATTCATTTTAAAAAATTTAGTTAAGAAGGTATTTCTAAACTTTTAATTTATACGTTAATGGGTGATGTCGACATTTTAGCTCCACCTAAATCAGAAAATGCAAACTTTTTATCAATAACATCATTTATTCCATTGTAGGATGACTATAATAACAATTAAGGGATTTACTTCTATTTCTTATTAAATTTCTTGGAAACAAATTTAGGCTTTTTATTTATATGATCCAATCACTTTTGATGATGCTTCTACAAATAACATAATGAAAAAGATAATGATTTAATTAATTAGAGAAGCTATTTACATGTTACATTAAAAATTACAAACAATGACATCAGGTATTAATATAAAAAAAACGGATGTTAAATTTTTTATTTTTAAAAAAAATTTACAAAAGCAAGATCTTGAGAAGTTTCAACCTCCATCGTGGTATTTAATACATCCTTGGCTTTTAATTATGTGAATAATTACAGTAATTCCACGAGAACTACTCAATTTAATTTACTAGTTATCTTTATTTTTGATTATCACTAATAGCCTACTTATAATCAAAAAGATAATTAGTTTTGAATAGTTTATTTTTATATCAGTTCAATTTTTAAATAATGCAATGCGTTCTCAGATAAACAAATGTAATTAATGGTTTAATCCTAAAAGTATATGATAGTAAAATATTTTGACTATCCTTTTAAAAAACAAGAGTATATTTCATCTTATATGAATCGGATCCCATAAAAAAAATAGGTTTGAAGAATGAAATCTTGTTTGTATTGAATACTATTTCTAAAAATTATTTTTATTAGCAAACACTTTGGTAAGATTCATTTAAATTCAAAATAAAAAATTATAAATTTCAGAATGACTATTAAAGTTGATAAAATACTAAAATGGGTCATTTATTAACAATTATTTCCTAACGTTGCAAAAATACATAATCATACTAAGTCTAATGAGAATATATAAAAGCAACCTAAAGAATTTCAATCTAATAGTTTCAGTTTTTATTGGTAATGTCTAACTTTTATACCATGTTTATCCTTTCTGAAAAAAAATATTAGAGAATCCTCCTACTGCATTCATTATATAGAGGAAATTATAACTATTATTTAGTAATAAAATTAACAATAGGAATTTATTTATAAAAAGAAATCAGTTTGATATAGTAGAAAAGATATAAGATATATATTGTTTTAATGTATTGCTATTATGCAGAGAGATTTGAATAAGAAAAATATTTTATTATATTTTGAATTAGCTTATGCTTGTGATTTCCATTCATAAACTTATCCTAAAAATAACAATACAGGTCTAATAACTAAAGAAATATTGGAATAAGATTATGAGTTTGCTAAATATTAATATAGTAAGAATTTATTTATTATATTTATTATTAAATTATGCAAAGTTATATTAGTTGGGAGCACGATTACTTGAAAAAAGATTGAAGAGTATAATTAGAGTAGGGTGAAAGTTGTGAAATAAATTTTTGAAGATTAACGATAATTAGTTATATCCAAAATATTCAACTCTTCTTATTAGATAAGCAAAAATGAATCCT